GCAGCGAGTAATTGTATAATTGTCTATCCGTCAATTTGGACAGCGAATTAACGAATGCGCTCGCTACAAATAGCCTAATGAATAATACACGTATTGCGCGAATGACGATTAACGAAAAGCTAGCGGAGGGATCGCATGGAAACGCATTCAACTCGAGACTCGTTCGTTGCTGTTTGAATAGACGTTCAGGAGTGGATTGCGAGCCGGCAAAGTGTTTTAAATACAGGGCCCCAGGAACGGGAAAAGATTGTAAAGAGGCGTACGCGCGGCCTTAATACGTGGGAGACGTGTTCACGCATTAACGCGCCATGTTCCGGATTGAAAAACGGGTCGGAGATTTTGCGATGAAAAAGAACGCGGAGAAAAGAGCGTAGAAAAACAGAGAGAAAGAGGAAGAACCGACGGGGAGAGAATGAGGCCAGTCAGTACAAATGGCCGATATCCGTGAACGAGGACTGTTTATTACGCAAAGTAAAGACTCAGGGAAATAAACAGGCTGGAAATGTGGCAGGAAACGAGGAACGAATTGCTCTAATTCCATTTTAAATCCCGGTCGCATATCGATCTCTTCATCTCGTCGAGAGGCTGCGTTCCTCGACGTTTACTCTGCCAGCTACCCCTTTTCTCTCGTTCTCTTCGCGCGCAATTTTTTCCTTTTCTCTTTTTGACTTGCCGGGAAACTATGCCGCGAGAAAGTTTTACGGTGAAATTGAAATAATGGACGGGGAAAGGCGGAGAAAGGATCACGGACGAAGGTGAAACGGGTTAACGGGAAAATTTCTGCAGGTGTAAGAACGATTTACCGGGAATACCGTGATTGTTTGTAGAATGAAACAACAGGAGTGAATGTTGTAGACGGTACAGTTCTTAGAGAGGGAAAATAGGGCAATTGCTCCGGGATGCCAGTTTAGGATAATGCAGTCTTGAATATTCATCATTCCGAATTAGTAAATTTAGAGGTTTCTAAATTTGGGAATTTGTGAATTCGAATATTTTTTAATTCAGAATTTTTTACATCTAGGAATTTTGGAATATTTTAAATTATACGCTTAATTTATATTAAATGTAGGAGTTTACAAAGTTTCAAGTGTGGAAAGATATGGAATTTAAATAGTTTAAAATTAAGCAAATTGTAAATAAAAAATATAAAAATTTGCAATTTTATAAATTTAGAAGTTTGATAATTTATAAATGCACAAATTTATAGATTTAGAAGCTTGTAAAAGGAACTAGAGCATTTATAAATTTTGAAGTGTATACCTTTGTAAATGTTGCTTTATAAATTTATAAATTGTTTAAGTGTCAAATTTTGAAAATTTTAAAGTTTTTATAGTTTGAAAATTTAAAAATTTGGAAATTTGGAAATTATTTCGTGTACAAAATAAAAGTAATTTTAAACTAATTCGTGACTTATAATCCACTAAATTTTTAGCACCAATTAATGAACAAACTGAGGAAAATTGTATACAAATGCAGAAGCAATATTCACATGGAACGTCGAATTAAATAGTGAAATAAGATTATTTAGTTGTCCTTAAGATACACGGTAGATACATTTCTCTCTTTCTTCACGTGTACTGATGGTTCTTTAGGAAATTCGTATCAAAGCTTCCTTTGAGTCTATCCAACGCGAACGGTACTCAGCTTCTCGACTCAATACTTTGAAAACGCTTCTGATCACCTCGATACAGATCCAACGGTAAAAGCGAGATAAATTTTGCAGAAAATCACGAATGCAGCCAGTTGTTAATGCTGTGATGAATTACGTGTGAATATTTCACTAGCATTCATTCCAATTTCCATTCAAGGATCCCAATGAAATAATTATGCTTCGTAAACTATTAAATATAAAAGCACTCGTTATGTCCTTCATAAATAAATCTCCATTTTTATCATTACTTAATCATATTTTTTTATGTACAAAATTATAGAACTTTTTAAAGATTTGTGATTTAATACTATATAAATTTTTGTGTGCAATATTTTGTCGTATGAAGAACGTGTTATAAAACATAGGGAAAAATCGAAGCAATTAATGTTAATCAATCATGTTAATCAATGAATTATTGACTGAAACAATATTATTTATAATTACATAATTTAAAATATTTAAATAAAATATTAAAATAATGTTTAAAATCAAGATATTCAGAAACACTTTAACATCTTCAAAAGACTCAAAACTCTACCAATAGCCCCAATAATTCTTTTCCCATAAATTCTCCCTAATGAACTATTATGAATATCCTATTCAAGCTCCATTGATGTCACAAATTCGTCATGAAAAGGGGGAAATGATTCTCAGAAACAATTTCTAAGACAACAGGTGAGGCCATGAAATTTCCAAAGCTAATTGATAGCGTCTCCAGACGTTCGTTATTGTAATACCGCAGCATGTAAATGCGTTTCATCAGAAACAGTGTATCCAACGTTATACAATAAAGGAACAATACACCGCAAGAATTCTAAGTCGTGTGTTGTTATCGTCAATATGCATACGTAAACGCGACAAAGAGCAGGTTTCGAGTAGATCGACGGTACTGAATCGTCCTACAACAGGTTACTTCGGGTAGAATGCATTTTTATGAATCACGGATCGGTACACGGACATCTTCGTGTATTTTTCCTTTGTATTCATACTGGCACGTGTTCTATGCACCGTTTCAATTCGATGTCGTTCAGTATGCATCGCGGATCGTTCGTAGGGAACGTTAAAAAATGATGAAGAGAAAAGAATCTAGCACGACGCGACTTTAGACGTACAATAGATTCATGAATGCTGTAACCAGTGACGTATCCGTAGCGGGGAGCACCCCTGGCATCACTCGACTCTTTTAGACATACGACTTTAAAGAGAAGAAAAACTCAAGCTTTGCGGAATTTTTGTATTTAATGTAAAAAGATGGAAGAAACATTTGTTTTAATTGTTTGACGTGAAAAGAGATTCAACTTTTCGAACTTCAGTTAAAATATACGTTATATTTGCCTATAATTATTTATGTTATATATGTCATACTTATGTATAATTATTTTTAGTAACGTATATGTTATATTTCTGTATAATTATTTATGTAAAAATATATAAATATGCCTAAAAGTTGGTAACCAAACAAAAGGAGGACAACGCTTTACACGCATAACCTTCAAAAATTAAAGAAATACGAAAGATCCGATGGAAAGTTTTTGAAGCATCTTTGGTAACTAAAGGAATATTACGCAATGTGAAATAACAAAAAAAAAGTTATGTTCAAACCAGCATTCTTGGTGTGATTATACTTTGTAAGAGCACGTGCAGTTAATCGTAGCCTTTTTTGTTCATTGTACAGGAGTATTGAAAGAACATGCGGTAAAAAAGTTATGAATATTAATAAAGTAAAAGTGTTATGAATACACATAAAGTGGTACTATAAGTAGTGTTAATTGTGCACATATGATGCTGGTATTACAAATACAGTATTAATTAATCTGTGCAAAGTAATCATTACTATAATGAACTATACATGTTTCCTTGTCATATTATAAAACAAATATAATATAATATTTCTATATTCACATCATTGTGCAATAGTGATTATATGAATATAATGTTAATAGTAATTATATATGTTTAGTAGTTAATATATTCACTACACAACTTTATTTAATACTACATTTATAATCTACTTAAGTATACCACATTTTAATTTTTTTAGTTTTTTTTACAGTTCCCATTTATCACCTATGGTGATGTGGCTATGTGACAATGAAAAATGTCACACTGAAGTATAGTGTATTTAGATGCATTATACTAGACATATTAAAATAAAAACAAACTGAATGTTATAGTTAACATATGTATATTGGAATATACAAATCAAAATGTAATTCTGATTAAAGGTATTTGCGAATTTGAAATTTATTTGAAAATTAGAGAATTTGAGTGGTTTGAATGGTTGAATGAAATATTCAAATTTAGATATGTAAGAAATTAAAAAATTTAGGAATTTAGGAATATAAAAAATTTGATAGTTAGACAATTGGAAATTGTAATTTTTTGAAATATGTCATTTTGAGAACTTAGTGTTTCAGAAATCTGTGGTTCATGAAAATTAGAAATATAAAAATTAAAAAATCTGAAAGCGCATATAGTTGGGAATTTGGAAATTTGAAAAGTTTAAACTTTTATGTATTTGAACAAATGATAATATACAAAATTAGACATTATAGATCAGGGGTGGCCAAGCTCCTTGATAGTCGAAGCCATTTTTCAAAATTTGAAATGTTTCGCGAGCCGCAATTAAATACGTATTTAAAAGGTATGCAAAAAAGGTATTAAAAAATTTTTTTTTACAGAAATTATATTTATTGAAAACATATGAATAAAAGTACAAAATATGTGCATTGAATTTAAATATTAAAAATTAAACACATTTATTTTATTTCTCTTGATAATTCTTTAAAATTTGGTGAGTAATTCGTGACAGCACTTCTCAGTAATTCTTTGAGATGCTGGTTAGTTAATACTGATCGGTGTTTGGATTTCACGAATTTTAAAGTGGAATAAAATGATTCACATAAGTACGTTGTTCCGAATATTGAAATAATTCGACAAGCAGCCTTTTTTAATTCAGGATACTTCGGTTCTGGTACAAATTTCCAAAATTCGATAATCGACGTCGACTTATATTTTAATTGTAGAGCTTGATCTTCTTGCATCTCTATTAATTCTAATTCTCCAGATGCTTTTTGGGTCATAATTATACTGGAAATGGAAAACTCACCTTGAATTATGTTAATTTCAAATGGATTCAGAAAAAAATCTAGAGACGATTTAAAATATTTCAAGTCTTGAAATCTATTTTGGAATTCCGTCAATATTCCTTCTAGCTTTTTTATATACTCGTTGAGTTTTTCTTATTTAATATTGGAACAGATTTTTTTAATTCGAGGAAAATGAAAAAATGTTTCATTTTTAATGTCCTTTTGAAAAAGTTGCAATTTAGTTTGAAAACTAAATATACACTGTGAGAGGTCAGATATTATTTTATCTTTCCCCTGCAATTGTAAATTCAGTGTTTGCAAATGTTCCAAGACATCAGTCAAAAACATCAAGTCTTGTAACCACTCGTCATCGTCTAATTCAGAATAAGTTATTTCCTTTTTTTTTAGAAATGCAGTTATTGGATCAAACAAATCTACAAAACGATTTAATACGTTGTAGCTAGATAACCATCTAACAATGCAAAAGAAATTAATGTCATTTGGAAGTTCTTCGTCCTTTAATTCTTCAAGGAAATTTTGGAATTCTCGATGATTTTTTGCATTGGTGCGAATGTAATTTACAATGTGTAATACTGTTTTCATAACATCAGGATATTTTAAATATTTTGTAACCAGATGTTTTCGGTGAATTATGCAGTGAATCGGTATAAATTGTGGAATTTGAGAATCATCTCTTAAAAGCCCAATAAGACCGATTTTTTTACCCAGCATTGCCGGAGCTCCATCAGTTGCAATGCTTACAAGTTTATTAAGAGGCACATCAAAAGTTTTCATTATGGAATCTAATGCATTTTTAATATCGACACCGCGGGTTGACTCTTGAAGTGCTACTAAATCTAATAATTCTTCTTTAACAACGAAATCAGGTGAAACAAAACGTATGAAAACTGCCAATTGTGGAAGATCTGTGATATCTGTCGATTCGTCAAGGGCTAAGCTGAATGCAATACAGTTCTTCAAATCATTTTTTAAATTATATTCAAGAGATGTATTAATTGCAGTTATGCGTCGTTTGGTTGTGTGTCTCGAGATGGGAATTTTGCGAAACAACTTTGTGCAATGCTGCATTATTTGGATCTAAAACTTTGAGTACACCTTCCAAGTTTTTTTTAATAAACTCTCCCTCTGCATACGGGCGTTTTGCACGAGCAATATTCCAGGCAATAACAAAACTGGCTTCAGCCACATTATTAGCTTGATTGCTAAAGGTCATCAAAGTTGACTGTTGTTTATTTAAATTTGATTTTAAAGAAACAAGTTTATCTGATCTTAATTTGGAATTTGGTGGATATTGATTAGAAAATTGAGGATGATTGGTTTCATAATGTCGACGTAAATTGCTAGCTTTATAATTTTTGACCGTAGAATTACAAATAACACATAATGCTTTTCCGTCATTGTCAATAAAAAAGAAATTCTCCTCCCACTCATTATTAAAACTTCTATTTTCTTGCTCGTATTTTCTTTTTTTATTTTCGTTCTCTGTCGTCATATTTTTAAAAGAACTGGAAATAAATAAAGAAATTTAAAAAATACAAGTTTTGTGTTATTAAAACAATAACAACACGTGTTACATACTACGAAACAAATTTAGTTAACTTACCAAAAATTCCAGATTACAAATTATATCCGTAGCAAAAGTGATACAAATTGTTTCTTCCGGAGTACAATGTCAACTGTTAGTTGCAATGAAAGTACGCCGTACGCCACTGTTTACGAGGTGTAACAAAAGTAACGAGACTAGGTCTGTAGCTTGAAAAAACAATGGAATTGGCAGCAATTGTTTTTATGACATCATCCCACATACCTCCTCTATGCATGTTGCCAATTTCGATTGAATCAGTCATACCATTTGGAAGTATTGCGTTATTTAGTGAACACGTGCAACTGCATTCTGCCGGAAAAATGTCTAACGTAAAAACCGAACAGCGAATAAACATCAAGTTTCTTGTAAAATTTGTTGAAATCTTTTGTAACATGTGATGAGACGTGGATTTTTACCTATGACCCAGGAAGTAAGCGCCAGTCAATGGAGTGGAAGTCTCCAGGATCCCCCAAACCCAAAAAAGCACGCATGTCAAAATCAAAATTCGACATTAATGGAATTGTAATGATTGAATGGTTTCCCAGTGGTCTGATTGTTAACTAGCACTATTACATTGATGTATTAAAAGGACTTCGTGAAAAAATTAGGAAAAAAAGGCCACAGTTGTGAAGCGATGGATGGTTGTTGCACCAGGACAATGCACCCGCTCACACGGCACTGTCTGCCAAGCAGTTGCTGACCAGTAAAAATATTACTGTGATAGGGCATCCTCCTTATTCACCTGATTTGGTTTCATGCGACTTTTTTTTTATTTCCTAAAGTTAAATTGTGCTTAATGCTAACCCATTTCACCTCAGTTAAAGAGGTTCAGGCAGAAACGGAGAATCTTCTGGAGGGGCTTCCAAAAACCTCGTTCCAGAACTGTTACCAGCAATGGCAGCACCGAATGCAAAAGTGTGTGAATGCTGAAGGGGACTACTTTGAAGGTGACAATGTCACGGAGAACTGATTTTGAAGGTACAATGATTTATTGGACTAGTCTCGTTACTTTTGTGCCACACCTCGTATGTTCATTCGCGCAATTTTCGATGAGTCATATCATTCTTAACTTGGACGGAAATGAAATTTGTTACAACGTTGCACTTAGTCTTTCATATTTGTTGTCAGTAATTTCAAAGACATTTTGAAACACATACGGAACGATAATAATTTTTTAAAATATAATAGCACAAAAATGAAAAGGGAACTTGGGTACATTTATCGAGAGCCACAAATAATCTTTCAAAGAGCCGCATGTGGCTCGCGAGCCGCAGGTTGGCCACCCCTGTTATAGATAATAGTATAGATAATAATATAAGATAATATACAAAATTGGTAATTTAAAAATTTGTGTAGCTGATAATGTAGTAATTTGGAAATTTGGAAATTCGGATATTTAAAAATTTGATAAGTTTTAACATTTACAACTTTTTAAATACTTTCAATTCATCAATCATTTATTCGTCCATATTCCTCAGCCCCGTTAATTTATTTCAATAAAACTCACTCTTAGACAATCCCGTACGGCCCATCGCACTGCGTATATTTAATAAAACATTTCATTATACAATTCCGCACCAAACCAAAAATCCTGACCTGTCTTAATCTCTTGCCGTACAATTTATTTGCCAGATGCGTCAGCCAAAACTAACTATTCATGATTATAATATTAAAACAAATGAAGAAAATTAAAATGTTATGAGCATTTTATATTTAGCGATCCCTGACAATACAAATTATAGTTGGGCCTAAATTTCAAGTTGAAGAGTATTACAAATTTGAGCAAGGAGCTGTACGTGTCACGAGTGAGACTGGTTAAAGTATGCGAAAGGGTTAAAATATTTTAGCGTACACACCTCTCGTTCCTTATCTTCTGCAAAATTTTACGAGCTCACCCGACATCGGCACGTATGTACAATGTGACGGTAAGAAGCCATACCGGAAACGTTACACGATTAAAAGAAATCGCAGATTCTGTCGGGGTAACTTTTCGAAAACTCGATATCGCACAACTTTTGGAAGAGAAAGAAAAATAGTATAGTAGACTTGTTACTTTTTTCGGGCGTATTGTTAGACGTACTCGCAGTCCAATCAACTAGATCACGGAAATATAGTTTGGAGTTGTTCCGCATCTACTCCAATCTCCAGCTTCGTCGAGTTTCCTTCGGGTCCGCGTATATCGCACTTGCAATTTCTCTTTCCCGCGAGATTCTCGATACTTTTCCGTGTTGCGTAATGGCCGGGAAGTCGGGCAGAACACGCGAGAAAAACACGGGTGAAACAAGGGCTCGAGAATGAAAAAGAAACGCGGCTCGATCGAGACGTTCGAGCAATTAACGAGAACCGGCCTCGGATTCCTGCATGCGGCTTGAACTTGGTACATTCACAATGGCTCGTTTCCACAGAACTTGGTGACACTTTTTTTTTTTCATCACATTTCTTCACCTCCTCTTTTTTCTCCGCTTCGTTCTATGCCGCAGCGTGACGCCTTAGAGTAAAGAGTAAATATAGAGGTAACGCGAGGACGGAATTTTTATTACCATTGTACAAACTTAATACGCCGCTGAAATATACACGCGAAATGTTACGTAACCTTGTGTTACGCTTTTCTTCTTTGGAATAAAGCTTTAGTGTATAAATAAGGTGCAATGAAATGTTCAGTTTTTGAAGACTGAACAATGGATATATGTATAATATGTTTCTTTGTTTTTTTAATTAGTACCGTTATTTGCATTTTCATTAAAAACATATTCATGAAGTTAAATATTTATATTTGGTATGTATATATTTGTATTTGCATTTATATTTGTATTTGTATTTGTATTTGTATTTGTATTTGTATTTGTATTTGTATTTGTATTTGTATTTGTATTTATATTTATATTTGTACCCATACTTATATTCATACTTGTATCTATTATTATACTTGCATCTGTATTTATAATTCATATTTATATTGATATTAATAAATTTATGATTGTGCACACTTCATATTAAAAATTGTATAATGTATTTGTTTTAATAAATAACGGAAATAGTAAAACGATACTACAGTATAGTCCTTTTATACATATATGCATATCGTTAGGTTACTTTATGGAAATTTCATGCGATCAATATATTGTCAATTTTTCATAGTATTTATTGACACTACTGAAACATTGTCGATATAATAATGTCGAGACTAAAATGCTGAGAATCCTAACATATTGACAATATACAATATCGATTTAAGGTCTTCATAAGAATCACGTGGACGCGCTATTTCGAGACAAGAACGCAAACGGCGTAATAGAAGTATCGTATTGGAACGAATTTTCAACATTCAATCACGATCGTTTATTAGAAACCGTGTGAAATATTCTAACCCTATGAAATTTCTAGATTTCCAAGTTTTCCAGTTTTCAAGTATTCAAGTATTCAAGAATTCAAGTATTCAAGTATTTAAGTATTCAAGAATTCAAGTATTCAAGTATTCAACTATTCAAGTATTCGAGTATTTGAGTACTCAAGAATTCAAGTTTTCTAGTTTTCTAGTTTTCTAGTTTTCTAGTTTTCTAGTTTTCTAGTTTTCTAGTTTTCTAGTTTTCTATTTTTCCAGTTTTCAAGTTTAGATTCCCAAATTCGTAATCCACCTCTAAATTTTTGAAACTCATTAAACTTGAACTTCGGAAGACTTCAATCTTAACCCTTTGACAGCGAAAGGCCCCTATGTACCGTCTCTAATTTTTTTTTACTATACTGCATTGCTGAACTAATCTACGTACCAAGGGTCTGCTGTGAGACGACCTTGTCTCCAAAAACATAATTTTACAGGAGAATAAACTATAGTAATTAAACTATAGTAACTCTGTCATTACCACAAAAAGTGAATTTCGAAATTAATGTTGTTTAGCTCTAAACCCTCAATACAATCCATCATTTCTAATTTATCAACTGCAGATAACTAAACACCGACAAGTACTTCAATATTTAACAATCGCAAACATTCCAGTATACATCGATAATATCGATGTCTCCATGCGAAAGTGCACCATAGTCAAAGGATTAATTACCATATTTTACCCAGGACTTGCTCGACTGTTCGCAACTTTTACACTTGACGTCATTTGGAAAGAATTTTCTGTTGTTGCTTTTGGTGAGTTGTTCTATGTAAATCGCACAATCTTATCTTTATGAATCGTACTATGTTACAAACTGATTAATAGGTCATACAGATGACAATAACAACGAAGATGCATGAAATTAAAGAGAAACGTTATTCTGAAATGACGTAAAGTGTAAAAGTCACAATACACGACCGAGCACGAGAGCCGTAGATTTTCGATTTACCGTGAATTGTACTTACGCGATAATAAATTTGATCGTGACGTTTTATCCGCGGTAATATCGGAGTCGCGGAATCACAATAATTACTGGGAGCGACAAAAATCTTGGGGATAATATTTTTCAATGTTCAAAGGCCAGCCTTTCGGGAGGCAGCCCTCTTTCGAAAATACCCGTTCCACCGTCACGGAAGTCAATATTCCTGAACGGCACGTAAAACCTGACCCTTTCAGCTGCATATCTGAATATTCCGTGTCAGCGTCTACGTGTACGAGCCACCTAATCTTTAGAGTAAATCGACACGTCAGAATATCGGCATATTTTCCAACGAGCAGCCCCTATGCCCGTTCCGTGAACCTCATCATCCGGCGTCGAAATTACGCCGGTCGCAGTTTCACGTGGTATCGACGCCAATAAAAATTGCGTATCCTCCCTTATACACTCTTTCGACATTCTCTCAGTGACATCGATATTACCGTTCGCCATT